AAAGAGGATGAACTGTTTCCAGGGGCAACTCTGAAAGTTCCAAGGCCCAAAGCTCAGCCGGAGGATGAGGATGAAGATGAGGTGGTAAGGAAATCCCAGGGCCTGCCACGGCCACACCCCACTGCCTGGGGTCTCTTCCCCACTGGCTGGGAGACGAGAACAGGAGCCTGCTGGTGGCCTGCTCCCTGGACTCTGTGTACCGGGCCATGTGGGAGTAGTTTTGGGGCTGTGAGGGGGCCACTGTGTTCTCAGAGTGGGGATGGTCAGCTGCCACTTCACTCCTGAGAGGCAGTCACCCTCTCCATCCATGGAGGAAAGGTGGGAAGGACTTGAAGATAACCTGAGAGGCATCCTTCTTCCTTAACAGAGAAACTGAGGCTCAGAGGATAATTTGCCTGAGCCACAGAGCCAGGTGACGGTAGAGCAAGGCTCCAGCTGCACTTTTGCTGGCTCCTCCTGCTTTCTAACCTGCTGCCCTCTTTGGTCATCACAAAGCCTCCAGGCGGCAGCTTCAGCGCTGACAGCATAGCCTTGCTAGTGAGTGACAAGCAGCAAAGCAAGTGCTGACAGTTCATGCATCTGCTGTCCCCATTGTACTAGGTTACAACCCTGCTGACTGTCACCAGACCATTGTGATTACTTGGTGGGAATTATTCAGGCAAGAGTTGCGTGTCTGCAGAGGAGCTTCAGCCTCAGGCTATCCCAGGGACAGAAATAGGGGCAACTTCTGTCTCCTCTTATGTCACCCAAGTGGGTTTTGTCTTTTGCCAAAAGCCATGACAGATCTGGGATCGTTTGTTACATCCCAAAGCCCTTCCCTCCTTCCTGCCTGCCTTTGAGGGAAGTATGATAGTTCCACCTATTGGCCTTTCTTCCTAAAATAGTTCCATTTAGAATACTGAATGTAAATTCTATACTTTATAAAAAAAAAAAAAAAAGATGGAAAAAAATCTATCCCTAAGTACAGTTGAAAATTTTACTTATTTTACCTTTTTGTGCCAGTCCTGGGGCTTGAACTCAGGACCTCATGCTCTCGCTTAGCACTTTCACTCAAGGCTCATGCTTTACCACTTGAGCCACAGTTCTACTTCTGGCCTCTTGCTGGTTAATTGGATATAAGAGTCTCTTGGATTTGTCTGCCCAAGCTGACTTCACACAGAAGATCCTCAGATCTTAGCCTCCTGAGTAGCTAGGATTCCAGATATGAGCCACCAGTACACAGCCTATAGGTAAAAAATTTAATTAGCCATATATAAGTAGCATGACTGCCAGTACCACCAAATGAACATCTGTTTCTCAGGTACTCTGAAATCACTTCATATTCTCATTTAATCATCTACTAATCCATTGAAGTAGGTACTCTTAATCCTGTATAGATCGTATGACTGAGACTCAGCAAAGCGTATCTCAGGGTATGTGGCTGGTAAACAGAACCAGAACCATCTCCAGAACAGAACAGATTGTCAGTTACACTTGAAAGCCCACTTTTATCAGTTTAGACATCATTTAGTAACTGAGTCTTCATACAAGATCTGTTAGTGGATGTTTGCCATGCTCCCTTACCTTGGCCTGGCTCCTGTGAGCATTGATCTTGGAGAAGCCAGTAGCTCACGGAGCATGAAGTACCTTAGAGGAGGCAGTTCAGTCTGTGCCTGTCTCTAGCATTGGCTCCATGGCCTCTGTGGGACTAGTTCCCTGCTAGTCCAGAGGAAAAAGACCAGAAGCTTGAGTCATTAAAGAGAGAAGGGGAATTTATTTTGGCTCCCAGTTTCAGGGTTTATTTTTTTAATTTAAGTTTATTTATTTAGTTGGTCATGGGGCTTGAACTCAGACCCTGGGTGCTATCCCTGAGCTCTTTTGCTCAAGACTAGTACTCTCCCATTTGAGCTACAGCACCTTCCCCAGTTTCAGAGTTTCAATCAGGCCCCTTGCTTTGGACCTATCATTGTGGCAGGCACATGTGGATAACATAAAATTATTCATCTCATGGCCAAGAAGCCCAAAAGAACAGGAAGAAGGAGCTGGACCCTGTGTTCCTAGTCTTTGTCACGTAGGATTTTTCCTCCTGGGAGGGTAGACGCGTCTTTCTCTCACATGATGAGGTCGCATCCAGAGCCAGTCAGGCTACCTCAGGCCATGACAACTGTGTTTTGAATGTGATTGGTCCATCATCTGCCTGTACCCCTCTCATCTCTCAGGCTACTGGCTTCTCTGTCTGTCTCCTGCTCCTGTCTCTTCTGATCCTCCTTTCTCTACATAAATTGTGCAAATTACATAAGAGGAAAACCTGTTAAATCAATACCTGTGCACAAATAAATGACAAAGTTAGCCAAACAAAGTTGGTCTTCTGTCTCTGTTGTCTTAGCTTCATCTGGAAGCCCAGGCTCTCTGGCTACTGCGCTGGTCCATCCAATGCACTTCCTTTCCAACCAAGAGCCCAGAACAGACGTTGGACCACTTCCTCTCACAGGCAGGAAGGCTACCTGGGGTGGGGACAGATGAGGACTGACCACTCTTTCCTGTTTTGTCAGAGCATGAAGGGACGCCCGCCCCCAACACCCCTTTTTGGAGATGATGATGATGACGATGACATTGACTGGCTGGGATGAAGACAGGAAACTGGTGCACAGGTTTCTCTACCAACCCTCCTCTAAGCATGATTTTGCACAGCCAGCCCTGGGTCTAGGCAAGCCACGGGGTGAGGGCCAGGTGAGCGCTCTAAGGACAGATATCTGAGACCCCGTGACCTGGAAGAGGATCATGACCCTGCCTTTTGAACTGGTGTTGTCAGAAGCCCATGTGGTCCTGCCTGAGTCCCAGTTGGAGAAAGGGCTGGTAGATTCCCTCTATTTGGTCACCTATAAGAACTCTTCCCTTTCTTCCAAGCTTTTCCTTCTTTCCCTTCACTCTTAGATGGACCTGTGAGCCTCCCCTCCATCTGTCTCTCAGGCCTCAGCTGTAGCCTAGCACACAAAACCTGTCCCCTGGGGGAAGGGCTCCCTGGAGAACGGCAACTACACCATCTCAGTCCGGTTCAATTAGTAGCCTGCTGTGGTCCTAGAACATGTGTCTTTTTTTCTCTGCCTTAAATCTTATCCAAGAGGTCAACAGGTATAAGAATTACAAAGCTAAAATAAACATCTGTAATGAAACTGGACTTGGGCCCTTGGGAGGAAGCTGAGTTTGATTTCAGGTATGGCTGTGCTGCTCTTTGGGAATCTAAAGGGCAGGAGCTACACCTGGGTTGGTAAATGTGCACAAAGACACCTGGACATATTCAGTACTTTAACACTTTCAGACCCTAGATTGAATCCCCAGTATATAAAAGAAATTAGGAGACAGACAGATACACACACACACACACACACACACACACACACACACACACACACACACACACACACACACACACACACACACACACACACACACACACACACACACACTGACAGAGACAGAGACAGAGACAGAAAAAGACAGAAAAGAGAAATAGAGAGGAAACAGAAAGGAAGGAAAGAAAAAGAGAAGAAAAAGCTTCTGAGCTCCAATCCAGATCTGTTGAGATAGAATTTCCATCCTTTATGGTAAAATGTAGAGCACAGCCTTGTCTTCAGTCACAATGCAGTTCTTTGTTCAGGGGTACTGTATGGCTTCAGCCAAGTGACCTTTTCTCTCACACTTCAGCCCATGTGAGCTGGTGAGGAAAAACAGCCAGGATGAGTTCTGCGACTCATGAGCTAGGTGAGTTGTTTCTCTATACCTCAGCGTCCTTATCTCTAAGATGAAGTCAGCTTAATGTTTGTATACGTTAATGTTTGTATAGAGTGCTTAGATTGGTGTCTGGCTCATCATAAACACACAGGTGTTGCTGAATCAAAATTATTTTTTGTGACTTGGCTCTGAAGAATGTTGACATGAGAGCAGTGGATCATCTACTGAGTCTAAGCATATAATCACAATTAAACACAAAACCTAACTTTTCAAACTCTTCCTCTGTAAAAGCCTCAAATATCTAAGTACATTTAGGGACTGAAGCTGAGTAGTTCACTGATCTTCCAGGAAAATGCTCATCCCAGCAGTGTCCCAGGGCAGGGGACCATTGCTGGTCAGGGCTTTTTGTTAGATGGGGAAGGCTCCTTTAATACAACTACACTGGACACTGGGAATCTTACACCTGTGACGGTAACAGACAGTTGGTTCTCAGTTCCCTTGGTGCATGGGAGTGTATGAAGCAATTCTAGAGGTGTGACATAATTCTAGGATTTTTTTTTAAGCTTCCTAAGAAAGGAATTTTTATCCATTGAATTTTTATTCTCTTCTGGACATCTATTTGGGGCCAGATGTCTTTTCTCCTTCAGGGTTATTTTTTTTTAATATAATTTTATTATTATTAAGATGTTGTACAGAGGGGTTACCATTTCATAAGGCAGAATACATATTTTTTTTTGGACAATGTTACCCTTTACTTTCCCATCTGAGAGAAAGACTGTCTTTGCTATCAAAATGTATTGCTTGAAGTTCTTGCTTTCACCTGGTGGCTTGGCTGTCTTAGAAGAGCAACTGCTTTGGGATGAGGACGTTTTTGAAATATAAGGTTTTTGTGTCTGTCATTGTGACTCCAGTGGTTCTTGGAGAGCATATTTATAACACATCCCTGCCTACAAATTGCATAGGTCATTTCCCATCCAGTCATTACTGAATAACATGATTGCATTTAGGATACATTTCTTACTGGGCCATTAGATTTCTGCTTCTGCCTCCAGGGAGAGGCAGAATCCGTGGGACTTTTATTCTCTTTCAGTGGGCACCCCATTACTGCTTGCTACAGCAGCAAAAGGTTGCTGACCAAGTAGGCATTGTGGGGTGTCTACCTGTAGCACAGCCTATAAGGCCACACAGTTGTCTTCAGTTTTACACACTTCCCCTGCAATACCCTCCCTCAGCTCCTAAGATTAGTTGGTACAAGGCCTTTGCATTCTTGATATTAGAATGAAGACAGATTGTTTAAAAATATATATTTATTAAAATGTATTTGTTTTTCATTCCCAAAGCTTAAAAGCATCTTTCCACCAAGCCCATGAGGTGCCTAAGCATAGACATTACAGTATTATATAGCAGTATATTTTCCAACTCGAAAAATATACTCACTTTGGTTTGTCTGTTTACTGCACCCTCAATCAACAGTCTACCCATCCACCCACCCAATGTGGCTTAATTATTATCTTCAAGGACTGAATCATGTTTCTTCACTGGATCATTATGAGCGAGCAGTAATAAATAAAGAACATTAATAACTGAATAGTATTAAAAGTAGTTCTCTATTGTGGATAAAAGGATTAAGGCCATAAAGAGCCCCTCAGTACCCTGGCCATCAGGCTGAGGTGGGAGCTCACTGTGCCCAAAGGACAAGCCAGCAGCCTTGGGAACAGACTGCGGTCTTTGCCTCTCAGCTGCCAATCTTTCCCTAAGAATGGGAGATGGACCTCGGCAGACACTGCCGTCTGTCATGGACAGAATGAAACCATTAAAATTTTTATTTTGACTGAATGTGCAAAATTGCCAACCAGGAGTTGAGTGGGAAAAACGAGAAATCTTAGTTTGTCAACATGATTCATGGAAGAGTCGATCTTCATGTGTTCCCAGGGCTTAAAGGTGAGACAAAAGAGCCCGGATTTTGTCCTTCTAAGCACAAAAGAGGTCAGTTTGTCCAATGGAAAATGCTTCTGTAGAAAAGGCACAAAGTAGAAGAGAGGCCATGTGGGTTCCATGGCCTTCATCACCCAGAACCCTCTTTGTCCCGGAGGTCTTTGGAAATGCTCACGTTCTGACTCAGACATGCAGCTTGCTAGGCTCAGCTGCTCTCCCCTACAAGCCTCGATTCTCTCCATTCTCCCATTGGTCACAGCTGCCTTCTTGAGGCAGCAGACAAGGCTTGGCCCTGAGTAGGTTGGTGGAGATGGGAGGTGGATGCAGTGGCCTCAGAGCTCCAGAGAGGACCTGCTGGCTTCAGCTCAAAGTTGTCAGGAACTGGAAAAGACGGTGAGTAGTTGCCATCAGAAGTGGCTGTGAGTGGAAGTACGGTCTGGCAGAGTGGCCCTTCCAGCCATCAGCACCTGTGCATCCCTTGCCAGCTACATCGTGTTGAGAAGTGGGTAGGTAAGGTAGTAACCCACAGCTGAGCCTAGGACCACACCCAGGAAAATCCAAGTGTTGTAGGACATAACAGTCAGCATCACAAAGTAGCCAATGACCACCTGAGCAACATGAACCAAAGACTGGCCAAAGTAGCACAGAAACCACCTAGATATAAAAGAGAAACAAGTTAATGCTGCTAATGAACCAAGAATAGAGAGTATCTGAGCTGCAGCTACCGCTATATCCAGGTTTTTCTTGGTTGACATGGAGTTGCACTAACATTTTGCCTGGCTAGCTTTGAACTGCAATCCTCCCAAGCTCAGCCTCCTGAATAGCAAGGATTTCAGGCATGAGCCACTGTGCCGGGCTGAGATTACAAAGAAGCTTGCCCACTATTTAGCCCTGAGCTTCCTAGCCTCCTAGGCAAAGAGAAAATGATGGTATATACAGTTTATGTAGATTATTAGTAAGACAGATTTTTTTTTCTTCTCCCAAATTTACTGTGGGAGGCAGAATGGCAATAGAAAATGAGAGACTTCAATGACAGATTAGTTCCTAGTTCAGCCACTTACCAAATCTGGCCTAGTAAAAACTTCTTGACCTATCTGGATGTTAATTTCCCCATTGGTAAAATAAGAACGGGGAACAGGAGCTTTCTCTTGCTCAGTGCTTGTGAAGGTGTGAAGTTCCCAGGTAAGTGCTGCTGATAGAGCAGGTAGGCTCAGTAAGCTCAGATGGGGCTGAAGAGGGCAGTCTAGGGACCTTAAATGGTTACCAGATCAGAGTGGGGGATGGGAGGAGATAAAAGGATGCTTTCTTCCACCAACTCAGGTACACTGATGACAGCCATTCTTGCTTCAGGATATACCCGCTTCCCCTCCTGGGTTTGGTTGCAATTTGCATGTGTGTATGTGTGGTGGTCTTGTGTTCTCGTTTAGCTCTTTCAAGTCTAGCACTCTTACCATTTGAACCACATCTCCACTTCCAACTTTTTTTCTCTAGATTTATCTGCCTGAGCTTACTTCAAATCATGATCATCAGATTTCAGCTTCTAACTAGGATAGCACTAGGACCCGGCTCCTTCCTAGGTTTGGAAGCCTGGTGAAATTGTGGGGTGCACAGTGGCAAAGTTCTAAATATTGCAGCTCCCTGAAGAAATTCTGTGCCCTGCAATGAGGCTATGGCCAAAGTACCAGGAACTCCACATGGTATAGTTAACCTTACTACTAACTAACCACCTTGCTTGGCTAGTCCTGGTCCTTCAGTGGGCCTCAATCTCCTTTCTGTGTATTGGGCCGACACCCTCTGGGCTCAGCCTACATCCCAGAGTGATGTGAGGGCTCTGTTCCTTCCCCTACCCAGTGCTTGCACCTGAAGGGCCTTCTGTTAGCCCGGGGTGAGTCCAAACTTGCAGAATCCCGATCTGTATCCAGGATAACTTGCTGGCTGCTGGAGACAGGCAGGCTCTCCAGAGTCCGGTGAAGCAGCTTGGCTTTGCCAACCTTGATGCCTTCATATAGTACAGCCAGGAGCAGAACCACCAATACTGAGAGGGCCATGCCTGCCAAAAGAAGCCGAGTACAGAATAGCTTCTGGTGTCCCACATGACCCTATGGAAACTACAGAGAATTACCAGGTACACTACATACTTGGAAAGAAAAAAAAAAAAAAAAAAGCTAGAGGCACCAGGTGCCAGTGGCTCACACCTGTAATCCTAGCTACTCATGAGGCTGAAATCAGGATTGTGCTTCAAAGCCTGCTTGGGTAGGAAAATCCATGAGACACTGATCTCCAATTAACCATTAGAAAGCCAGAGTTGGAGCTGTGGCTCAAAAGTGGTAAAGCCCTAGCCTTGAACAAAAAAGCTCAGGGACAGCACCCAGTCCCTGAGTTAAAGCCCCAAGACCAACACACACACACACACACACACACACACACACACACACACACACACACACACACACACACACACACACACACACACACACACACACACACACACACACACACACACACACACACACACACACGCTAGAGGCAAGAATTTTAAATGTGTTAACCACAAAGTAAATGATAAATGTTTAAGTAGAAATGTTTACCTTGACCTGAGCAGTTTACAATGTATATGTGTCTTGAAATGTCCTATGGAACCTCATAAATCTTTGCCAATTAAATGTAATTCAACTTCCAAAACTAGATTGTAAAAACCTCATATATCTGTCTCTTTTGTGGTCGGGCACTTGCTCTTTGAACTTGCCACCCACAAGGAAGCTCAGGCCAAGAACACTTCATGTAGGCATTCAGCCAAGAGCCCAAATGGGGCCCAAGAACAACCACTAGCCCTAGGAGGCAGTCTTGCAGATGGCTGTGGTTCCAGCCACTGTCTGATTCTGTGCATAAATAGTCTTGAGTAAAGGCCACTTGGCTGAATGTAGGCCATTCACTAAACCTTTGAGAGAGAATAATTACCTGACTATTCTAATCCATTGCTTACTGAGGAAGAATTAACGGGACCACTAATACATTGTAGGGATGATCACATCTGCCACTGGGGGGCTTTGGGGCTGTTAGTCTATTTTTAAGTTACCTAATTTAGGTTCAAAAACAATAGTCATGAGTTAGAAATCAAGGAATATTCTTCCCTTGCAGACTGGTATCTCCTCCCAAGTCTAAGTCTGTAGCAGCAGCTGCCAATATGAAAGACAGGCCAGGAAGCAACAGGAGGCCTTCATCAAGTTCTGGTCAATGCTTCCTTGTTTTTTTGTGACCCCCCCCCCCCGCCCCCCTCCCCCCGCAGTCTCAGTGTTTGGACTTCAGTTACTTCCCTTGGAATACATAGCCCAGCTTGCATGCTCTCTCTCTCTCTCTCTCTCTCTCTCTCTCTCTCTCTCTCTCTCTCTCTCTCTCTCTCTCTCTCTCCCCCTTCTTCCTCCTTCCTCCTCTCTCTCCCCCTCCCGCCACCTTCTGAGGATCCTTGAGGATTGGGATCCTTTGTGATAGGAAGGACCCTGGTGCAAATGGATTTATAAATGCAAAGTTCCAGCACAGTGTTTACCTGGAAAAGCAGGCTCATTAAATGCCTTCAGAAATTAAGAGAACCCAGGCTCTCCACTGCCTGGCACTTTAAGGCTTCCTAAGTTACAAGTCTGAGCTTCCTGATTCTTACCTGCAGGACTGTGGACACTCCAGAAATCAAACAGAAGCACGGCCTTGTCTGAGAAGATGAAGTGCATCTGAAAGAGAAAGGGAGTATACATCACAGGGAGCTTGGGGGCATGGAAGTCCTGCTTCCAAACTCCCCAGCAGCCTCCTTTGGGGGCCCAGAACATGAGACCGCAGGACCACACACATTGCAAGGGCCATTAGAGGTTATCAGGGCCAGTGGAGACCATATGGAGCAGGGCTTTCCCAGCCACCAGATGACAGTGCCCTCAGGCCTCTCAAGAATGGCCCCTTGGTGCCTTCCAGACCAAGGGAAGCACTAGACCCTGGAGTACCTGGCTCCTCTTACCTTCCTCTGGGCTTCCCCAAGCAAGCAGGAAGTCCTGGTAAATCTGGCAGATGGGGCAGGATGGACAGTGATTGTCACAGAGGGGGCCCAGAGGCGGCTGGCTCCAATGTCCCCACACTGATTAAACTATTTGCTGGGTGCAGTTCTATGCCCAGCACTAAGGAGAAGGGTTAATGGTTCTGCCCCAGATGTGCTCGTGGCCATGCAGTGTCTGTCAGGACACTGCCTGCCCACCTCGGGTTCGGGGTGGCACCAAGGCATTTGACCATGAACTTAGCGTGATGTCATAATAGTCTTCTATGTAACAGGGACAATTATGCCCATTTTACAGGAAGAAAAACTGGGAGGGATAGGCCCAGAAAGTTCAGTCATGTTCCTGACTCTAGGGAGCTAAGGTAATCCCATGTACTCCAGAACATAGCATCTCAGTCTCCAAGAGAAAATTTTAAGAGAGAAGTGGTACCAGGAGCCAGTGGCCCAAGCCTATAGTCGTAGCTACTTGGGAGGAGAAAGCTAGAAGGATCATGGTTTGAGGCCAGCCAGGGCAGAAAGGTCTTGAGTCCATTTATCAACCAATAAACTGGGTTTGGTAGTGTCTTATCATTTCAGCTAGCAGAAAGCAGAGACCAAGAAAATCACAATACCAGGCTAGCTCTGGCAGAAAAGTTTGAGAGACTCCCTTTCCACAGAAGCAGCTGGGTGTGGTGGTACACACCTGTCAGCCCAGCTACAGCAGGAGGATCGTGTCCAAGTGTGGACCAGGCAAGAAATGACAGCTGTCCTAAAAATAACTAATGCAAGCAAGGGCACCTGTCTAGCAAGTGCAAGGCCGGGAGTTAAAACCCCAGTGGTCCAGGGAAGGGTGGGGAGAGATGAGAAGGAGTCAATGGTGATTCTGCATGCCTAGCCAGCTGAATGGTATTTGCCAAGTCTAAGGCCTGAGGGGTCACCCTCCTGGGGTAGGCAAGTTGCTCTGCAGATACCTGTCAGTTTCATCTAGCCAATAAGATCCTGGTTGCAATAAATAGGACCACTTAATGGCAGCCTTTGACAATGGCCAAATACTAGAGTCTTTGAATGTCACATAGAATTTTCGGTCCTCTGGCTTCACTCTTTTTTTTTTTTTCATTCTTGGAGCTAGAACTCAGGACTGGGCACTGTTCCTGAGATTTTCTGCTCAAGGCTGGTGCTCTACCACTTTGAGCTACAGCTCCACTTCTGGTTTTCTAGTAGTTAATTGGAGGTAAGAATCTCATGAAATTTCCTGCCCAGACTGGCTTTGAACTGCAATCCTCAGATCTCAGCCTCCTGAGTAGCTAGGATTAAGAAAGGGAGATCAGGTGAGGAATGTGGCTCCGTGGTAGAGTGCTTGCCTTGCATACATGAAGCCCTGGGTTTGATGCCTCAGTACCACATACGCAGAAAAATCCAGAAGTGGTGCTGTGGCTCAAGTGGTAGAGTTCTAACCTTGAGCAAAAGAAGCTCAGGGACCATGCCCAGAGTTCAAGCCCCGGGACTGGCAAAAAATAAAAAAATAAAGTTTGCATTAAAAAAAAAAGGGAGGTCCAGGCTTCACTGCTCAGTTTGGTTCACTGATCTGGTCCAATCCACTCTCTCTCCCTCTCCTAAAACCAGATGGAGGAGAAAGTGTGTTCCAAGAGAGAAAGGGATTTGCCCAAGGCTTCACCGGAAGAAGGTTTACAATTACTGTCAGTTCACATTCAAGTGGAGATAAGCCCATCCTTTTGTGGCCTTTGACTAAGTTCTAGTGGAGAGGCCCAGGAGAGACAGAGGATGGGTTCCTGGGACGGTTGTGGGTTTTCAGGCTGAGACAAGCATCTGTGAGCTGGAGTAAAGGGACAGGCAGATTAGGTTAGCTACCACTTTGCTTAATGTGTCATGTGAGTATTCTGTATCTTCCCAGAAACCAGATGTGCACGTTTCTGTTTGCAAATGTCAGCCCTAAGCCACAGACCAACATGTCCAACCTTCTTCCCATCTTCCCCTCTCAAAGTGTAGGGCCAGAGGCAATAGTAAATAATAGCTGAATGAGGTGCTGATGGCCCATGCCTGTAGTCTTAGCTACTCAGGAGGCTGAGATTTGAAGCAGCAGAGCCAGAAAAGCCTGTAAGACTCTTATCTCCAATTAAGTTCCCCAAAAGCCCAGTGCCTAGGCCATGAGTTCAAGCCCCAGGACCAGCACCAAAAAAGAAAAAGAAAAATCTGAGTCTAGAATTTGACACATCATACCAGTTAGGGTCCTTCTCAGGCCTTAGCATTTCCTAGGGAAGGGAAGGTGGACAAAAATAATCTGAAGCTGATACAGTCAAATGCTTTTTCACTTTTCTTTTTTAGTGCCAGTCCTGGGGCTTGAACTCAGGAATCAAACACTCCCTTGGCTTTCTCTGATCAAGGCTGGAGTTCTGCCACTTGAGCCATACCTCTACTTCTTGCTTTGCTAGTTTATTGAAGATAAGAGTCTATCTACTTCAAACCACATTCCTCAGATCTCAGCCTCCTGAGTAACTAGGATTACAGGCATGAGCCACCAATATCCAGCCTTTCTCACAGGCTATTGAGAGGGTCTCTGAAAAGTGGATTCTGTGATCATGTAAGTTTGAGGGAAACAGGAACTGAGCAAATTTTTTTTAACACTTTCCTTGCTTGCTGCCAGAAGGACGAAGAGCCCTGTCCCTCCCTGTCTCATTGCTGAGTATTTTGTAGGAGAGCACCCCATAGAACATAACTGCAGAAGTGCTAAGTCTAGAAACAGCCCTATTTGGGGGGGGGTGAGTTACTATTTTGTGCCTAGCACTATTCTAAAAATATTATATCTTCATTTAAGAGGGAATTATTCTTTGTAGTTCCATTTGACAGGTAAAAATACCAAGGCTCAGTTTCAGTCACTTGCCAAGATGTACAGCTAGGTTGTGCCCTGGTAGATTAGATTCAGAGTCTGTGTCCCCAACACCTATCAGAACAGCAAAGGAATCCCTATAGGTAGTGGTGAGATTTCCCAGGGCATACTGCAAGGTAGAAGCCATTTCATGGTTAAAATTCAGATCCTTCCACTTGTCCCTTATTTGACGCAGAGGAAAATAGAGCTAAGATATGAAAACAAACCAACTGAGAGTGGGCTGCTTTGTTAGTTTTAACATTGTGGAAAGAAGACATGGCCACGTTGAGAGAAAAGAAGGAAAGGAATCAGGGAAGCGGAAGGAATGGATGAGAAAACACCTCTGTGCAATTAGTACAGCAGGAGTTAAGCTGTTCAAAAAATAAAGGAAGTAAAGGATGGCCAATCAGGACTGGAAAGAATGGCCAAGACACAGTTGAAAAACAGGATGAAGAGCAAAGAGGTAGGGCCATCTTGGAACAGAAGGGCATAGCTGGCCATGACTACAGACACTGAGTGCTGCTGTGGAGAGAACAATATAAAATGGCAAACACACGGAGATAGAAGAGTAGCCATGAGAGCCCCCCATCAAAGACAGGAAGCTGTAACACATGTCAAGACTGTTCAAAGACCATCCATTGGTACCTCCCCCACCCCCTCCTTTGTGAGTACCACTGAGAGCTGCCCTGGCCACAGGGATGAGTGGCTGTGGGCTTCTTCTGTGATTTAGGGCCACTACTCATATCCATCAAAGCCTCAGGCGGCTCAGGTCCCTTTGGGTTGGCCACCAGGGTGGTAGGTTCTACAGGGTTAATTTTTAAGCCAGGTAAGTGATCCTCCACTAGTTAGGAAAAAGCTACCAGCATAACATTGGCCATGTGCTTTCTGAATACTTGATATGCAGATGCCTGGGCCTCCCTGGGTCTTCAGTCAGAATTCAGGAGCAAATCTACAGGAGCTGAGGATATATAAACACTTCTCATGGACACTGATGGCTCACTTTAAGTAGCAGCTGGAACAGAGGTAGCAAAGCCTCGTGACTCAGATGCTAAAGGGGTTCTGTCTCCCAGCTCTGCTAGTAACAAACTGCATGACCTCAAGCAGGCAGTGCAATTCCATGGCCTGAAAAATGGGACTGGACTTTAGAAACCCTTTCTCCTGGCCTTGCCTTTGCCTCACAGAGGCCAAGCTCCCTGGAGGTCCTGCATCTATGGACAGGGAATGGAAAGGGAGGAGTGAACAGGACAGCCATGCAGCGGTGCATCTTCTGAGGACCTGCATGAACTTGCACAGTTTCCTGCCTTTCATCCTTTTATCTCCCTCTGACATCTCTGCAGTCCCCTCCTATTTTCAACTCCTTTGCACTGACATTAAAGGCCTATTTAGCTGCCCAAAGATACTCAGGAATCAGGTACCCAGGGCCATAGATTTTTCTGGAAAGACTGTGTGTTTTTCACACTTCAGCATGCTCCACAAGCACTCTGGGTAGTTTTGAAATAGGTGACTGAAACCATGCTTGGAAAAATAATCTACCTAATGAGGGCTGGTTAGATAGCTTACACGATTACCTCAACGGAAACTGAAGTAATTGCTTTAAAAAGTTACTTTGAGCTGGGCACCACTGGCTCATGCCTGTAACCCTCACTTCTCAGGAGGCTAAGACCTTGAGGATGGAGGTTCAAAGCCAGCCAGGGAAGAAAAGTCTGTAAGGCTCCATCCCAACTAACCTGTCAAATGCTGGGTTGGAGGCCTGGCTCAAGTGGCACAGTGCCATGTGACAGCAAATAAGCCAAGTAAGAGGCCCTGAGTTCAGGCCCCCAGTACTCCATACACACACACACACACACACACACACACACACACACACACACACACACACACACACACACACACACACACACACACACCCATGTTGAAGAAGTTAAAACCAGATTTCTATCCACCTAATATGAAAATGGTGGTACTTGCTGAATATAAAAAGCTGAAACAGTACCAAATAGAAAAATGACTGAGTTCTATCCAGTTAGGAGTTGGAACATGACAGAATGTTCACTAAAGAATATGCAAAAATAAGCAAGTATAAACAATTCTGTGAATTCCATTTATATTGGAGTTGAATTCTTTCAACTTCAGTGGAAGCCTCCAGTACCATCGTTGCCAAGTGGGGGGCTGTGCCCACCCCCCTACCCCCAACACTTCTTTGAGTCCAGCTGATAAAGCCATTGGCATGAATGGAATGTCCCCAATCCCTAATTACTCACACAGGGAGTTTCCATAACTGGCTTCCTCTATCATCCTTGAGACAGTGCCAACTACCTCAGTAGCTCAAAACAGGTAACACCTTTTGCCACACACCTGAACACCCACAGACAGCAAAATTCACTCGACCAACATTTCCTTTTGTTGTGCCAGACCCTGGAGACACAGAGATGACTGCAAAAAAAACCTTCCTGGAGCCCACTATCTAGTGATAGAGAAGTAGACAGATAATTACAACAGGTTGTATGGTATCAGAAACAGAAGGCAGGATGGAGATGTAGTTCAATGATGCATAAGTCCATAGGTCCATATGTCACAATATGTCCCATATCCAGAACTTCAAAAAAGCCAGTGACAAGGCACGGTGTCGGGAACCTGGAGGTGTGGGGACAAAACCATCTGGGTGACACCTTTGGGTAGGGCAGGTGGGTAGAGCAGCTCTGAAGTACAGGGAGCAGGAGACTACTGGGAAGACAGTCTGCAGAGCGTTCAGAACTAGAGGAACCCAGACAGCATCAGTTCCCATTCCCCAGGGAGTAGGAAGCTGGGGGAGGGGCAAAGACCCACAGGTTGCTAGGCCTTCCGCACTCTTGTCCTGTTGCTCGTGAAAAGAATTCAAATCAGCACATCCTAACTTAAGAGACTTCCATCTGCAATTTTCAGGTCCAGAGTTTTATGCATAAGGCAGGCCCCCAATCTTGTTTTCTCACTGGGGAGGAATCTCAGTCTCTGGCAGTGTAATTTATCGGTGCTTCAGTCAGGGCCCCACCCTGGACAGGGAGGAGCTGTGGCCGATTATGGAGTAAACAATCCACAAGATTTGTTTTAATTTCTTCCTTTGGGGTCACCGACACTTCGATTGAAAAAAAAGAACTAGGGGCTGAGGGTCCCGCAGGGAGGCTGGCCGGCGGGGAAGCTGTGTAGCAAAGGCTCTCGCCTCTTTTTCAAGAACAGCAAGGGGGCGGGGTGGGCGCTAAAGAGTCTGCACAGCCTGTAGCTTCTGGGACTTGTTTCATGAGGTGAGGGAAGGGACATGATTTCTCCAAACTCCCAAAGTCTGTTAGAAGCTGTCCTCCTCTCCAGCCCAGGTGAGCCCTAACCAGGATAAAAGAAAAGAAAAAGCTCTTGCTGAGCTCCGATCGGAACAGGCACTTGTCCCAGGCAGGCTGGGGGTGGTGGGGTGCGCGGACGGCGCCGGGCTCGGCTGAGGAAAGCCTCCCTAGAACCCCAGCCACCGCGTCTGCTCCCACCCCACCGCACCCCACTCACCCCGACTCCGGCCACCGCCCGGAGCTGGGACCCCCCGCGACTCGCCGATCCGCCCGGGCCGCGCCCCAGCCCGCCTTCGCGCGTGCGTCCGGCTGGAAGGACTCCCAGCAGCGGGGACCGACAGACAGAACCTCCGGGAGCCCCTGACAGCCGCACCTGCCGCGTCCCCCAGCCCCGATCCAGCGGCGACGATGCCACCAACACACCCCCTCACCAGCCCGGGACTCGGGGCTGGGAGGATCTCGGGGTGCGGAGGCTGCTGCTCCGAGGGATTCCCCCACCCGCGTCCATTCTGCGAGGCGCCTGGGACTCACCGCCATGGTGAGCGCTCTTGAAGGGTGCACGGCCCGGGTCTCGGATCCAACTTCGCTAGCAGCCGCAGCGACGGCGCCCCGGACCGCGCCAGTCATGTGGTCCCAGGAAAGCAGCGCGAGGGTACCTGGGAGTTGTAGTCCCTCTGCGCGTCCCCGCCTGCGGCCACGCCCACCACTGGACTCCCCTAACCCCACTGCGCAGGACCCACCGGGATCCACCCGCCCACCGCGACGCTAAGCTGTCCGAGCCCCAGGTGTTCTGGTCCTGTAACTGCTTGTCATAAAATCGTTTGGCAATTACCATAAAATGTTTTTATTGTTCCTTGTTATAGTCTGTGTGAGGCTTCGCCTGTGATGAATTAAAAATGCAGAGAGGGGAAACAAATTTAGAGAGGGCATGCTGTCAATGACACTCTGGACCTTTGTGTAGCTATTTGGTTTCTAAGCGATCATTTCCAATCTAACGAGCAAAAAAGCGTTTACCGGCTGTTGATTACATTTCCTTTATTGCAAAAATTCTGGGTTTTCCCTAGAGGCAATACATGGTACTATCTTTGACAGAGAGCTTACAAACAACAGAAATTTATTTCTCGCAGGTCTGCAGGCTGGGAATCCAAGCTCGGGGTGCCAGGTTCCCTCTTCCCTGATGGTTCTCTTGGTTACAGAGGGTGACTTCGCATTACCTCCTCACAAGGCAGTACTTTCGACTTGTTTCATTTTACTAGGGTGGTTAGCTTTTTCCCTTATTGGTATTTCCATTTTTGTGGATTGCCTGACTTGGAGTTTTCTCCCCTCCCCCAGGTCGGGTGGTAAGAGACTTTTAAACTATATTTTAATTCTCAGATATGTTGAAAATCCTTTATCAATCAACCTCTGTAAAGGAGCTCCTTCAAGAGACCTGGGCTTGGATTAGCAGTTTAGAATCTGACCTCAGTTCAATCCTGAGCCCATGAGTATGAGCTATGGTATCTCAACAAAACAAAACAAACGTTGTACAGTATTCTAGTAAGATAAAAATAATAGAACTATATTATGGAGCTGTTGACTAAAATGAAAATACGTTAAATTCTCAGCCTAAAACCTGGCACTGGGAGCTTGCTTAATAAATGGTGACTACTGTCATCATTAGCAGTTCTGCCCTAGAGAGAAAGCTATCTGCAAAAGGCCAAGCCACTTGCTCAAAGTCACAGCTTCTGTGAGCCTCAAGATGAAAACAGAAGAGGGTGTGGGAATAGCCAAGGACCAGGCTGACTCCTGATTGGGGGCAAAACACATGGGTGGGTGCAAGAGGGGTGGGCACTTGGAGGAGGCCAGATAAGGCCCACCACTGCTGGGGCTGTGCTAAGCCATGGGGAATCTTTGAAGCTTTTAGAACCCAAGAACTGGGGAGAGATCTAGGCATTCTTCAACTCTATGGGGCTCACCTGAGAATCAGGAGTCAAAAGGTCTGACCTTTGCAAAAATGGGCTCCTGAATACCCCAATCTCCTCGCCCACGGAAGGACTGCGTTCATTTGACTGTTGTGCTTGGCTTTGTCACAATCTCATGACCTTTCACAGCTCTAACTTCCTCATGGGTTACAATGCTTGACCCCTTAAGTCCCAAGTTTCTTTTGAGCCACCAGATATTTCCCCTCCTTGGGCCCTCAAGGAAGAGGAACTGAGTGGAAGGCACAGAATCTTAGCTCACAAGACCATATGAGTCATCCAAGCCAAGTGGAAAGATTCTTTTGTGATTCTGTTTTGATGGCCTGTGGAACTCCTTCCTGTCCAGGAACAACAGTCTGTTGCTATCTTCTTAGCATACACCTGGAGCCTGCCTGGAAAAAATCTCCAATCAGACTGTGCTACCTAAAATGTGGCAGAGATCATGGGGGAAGGGCGCAATCTGGACATGAAGCTTGTACAGTCTATCAGGAGAGGGAAAAGCCGACCTGACATTTCTCCTTCCAAGGAGGAAGTTGAGGTCTTAGGGAAAGATCATCTACTTTTTTTTTTTTGGTCGGTCATGGGGCTTGAACTCTGGGCTTGGGAGCTATCCCTGCACTCTTCAGCTCAAGGTGAGTGCTCTACCACTTGAGCCACAGCACCACTTCCAGTTGTCTGGTGGTTAATTGGAGATAAAAGTCTCACAGGGTCCTGGGAAGGTGGCTCAATGGTAGAGCGCTTGCCATGCATGCCTGAGGCCCTGGGTTCAATTCCTCAGCACCACATAAGAAAAAAGAAAAAAGCCAGAAGTGGCGTGTGGCTCAAGTGGTAGAGCGCTAGCCTTGAGCTGAAGAGCTGAGGGACAGCACCCAGGCCCAGAGTTCTGGCCCCATGACCGGACCAAAAAAAAAAAAAAAAAGTCTCACAGACTTTTCTGCCCAGGCTGGCTTTGAACCATGATCCTCAGATCTCAGCCTCCTGAGTAGCTATGAGTAGCCTCCTAAGTAGGCATGAACCAATGGTGCCCAGCTCATCTAATCTTTAAGTGCAGATGAAGCTGTGTATCCCAAGGATGCCATTGCCCCTTTTCTGGGCACTGGTTTCCCTATCTGTACAGTAAGAGCTGGAATGACTGCCCATACCTGCACCTTTCAAATGCTGATGATCTGCACTGATAATCATCTGGCAAGTGGAGTTGGAAACTTATGGCAAGATTTCTGCATGCCTTCCAGCCAGGTAACCTCCTGGATTCTTCCACAAGACCTAAAGAGTTTTTACATGTATATTTTACTACCTATATCTTTTCTTTCCCAAATATCACTACTCTTTTAGTGATGCCAGCCTAACCACCTTATTTAAAACTGTAATCTCTCCTAATTATTAGGAAGGCAGAGATCAGGAACATTGAGATTCAAGGCTAGTCTAGGAAAAAAGGTGAGATACCATCTCCACAAACAGGCTGGCTGTGGAGCTTGGTGTCTTTCATTCTAGGTACTTGGGAGGTGTAAGTAGGAGGATTGCGGTCTGAGGCTCAGTTGGGCAAAAGTGCTCATATCCTAGTCAGCTAATGATAGCAGCTCACAAATCTCTATGTGGGGGTGAGGGGGTACGTGTGGGTGTGTACTGATATTGGGGCTTGAACTCAGAGCTCAGGCATTGTCCCTTAGTTTTCTCATTTAAAGTTGGTGCTCTACCACTTGAGCTACAGCTCCACTTCTGGCTTTTTGCTGGTTAATTGGAGTTCAGCATCTCTCAAACTTTCCTGCCCAGGCTGGCTTTGGATCATGATCCCCAGATCTCAGCCTCTTGAGTAGCTAGGATTATTGGTATGAGCCACCAATACCAATCCACAAATGCTTTTTTAAAAATACCATCGCAGCTTGGGCACTGGTGGCTGGTGCCTGTAATCCTAGCTACTCAGGATGCTGAGATCTGAGGATTGTGGTTTGAAGCCAGCCTGGGCAGAATAATCTGAGAGACTCTGATCCTGATCCTGACTGGACATTATTTTCTTAGGGAAAGGTCCAACACAGAAATGACCGAAGGTCAGATGAGTGGAATTTTTCCTCCACAGCAGCCTTTTCTCCTGTTAATAAGAACTAAACTAATTTCCCCGCCTACCAACTCCCCATCAAAGGTCCAATGGGATCATTTTACTAATATATTATGCTGATAATAATCTTCACTAATCAAATCCTTTTGTTGATTTCTTAGGTATATTTTGGTTCCAATCCAACCGATCTATTGTTACTGGAGGAAGGATCAAGCTGGGAAAATATTCTTATCTACCTTATCTCTGAAAGTGTAGTAGAGCTTTGAGCCTGTTGAAACGACTGACAAAGGACATTTTTAACCTGCAGAGATGACAATTTCATATAGTTCCAGTACTAGCTAAGGCAACTGTAGGTAGATAACCTATCCTCTGTCAGAAATGGACCCTCTTCCCTCCATCTGAGGAAGAAGAAAGCCAATGAGAAACAAACCACCTGGCTCTAATGCACTCGCCTTGGAGAAGCCAGGTGGGGAGAAACTGGTTCTGCTCCAATAGCAGAGGTTGTTTTGCAGTATCGAGTTGGGCAGGCACTGGAAAGAGCCTTAGGTCTGGCCACAGTCTAAGAATGATATGGTGTTTAGCATGCTGTGCAACCATGAGGAAAATACTTTTGATACACTGCCCTACCTGCAGTTCTCTCTGAATAGGGAAGAGGGACTCCTGTCACTATACAGTGGCCCAAAGAACTCATCTATATCTTGTCTGTTTTGAGCAACATACTACTTAAGATGTAGCCTACCCATCAACTACACTCCTCATCAGGACTTGGGTGAGGAGAGAGGTTGGACAGTTGGTGCCTTTTCTACCTTTTGCTTTTTGGTTGAGACACTCAACAGGTAAGCTTTAAGAAGGCATTAGTATTTAGGAATACTTGTTCTGTTGAACAAAAGATAGGAGCAAATCATTGAAGTTAACTCACAGATATCACACCATAATGGTGGTTCTAAGGCAAACATGAAGAATCAGATTATAACTAGTTAATGTTTTATTCATTCACTCAACAAACACCTTGCTCTGTTTAGGTCCCAGGGATGGTAGGTCAGAGAACCTCCTGGAAGTTGAGAGTTCTTGGAGACTTTTTTGTGTGTGCATACAGAGAATGTATACAGAGAGTTTGTACTTCTCCTAAAGATGCCTGAATCCTGAATTGCCCCTTTGGAGATTGGCAGAGAGAGAGAGAGAGAGAGAGAGAGCTAGTTTAACAAAGTGGTGTGTGTATTTATGCGTGCACAATGACGGCAGACATGCAAGTAAGGATGTGTGTGACACAAGTATATGCAAGTGTGTAGTGGACTCATGATTCTATTCTTGTCACAGTAGGTACTGATTCTGGGTTTATGTGAGCTGTTTGTGTGCTTAGGATATAGGATATAGTTAAGTGTTGGAATCATGTGTGATCATGTACAAGCCTGTGAGTCTATAAGTGGCAATTCAGAAAAAGGAGGAAAGGAGAAATGGGTGGAAGTTCACCTGCTGGCTATCAGAAAGTCCCTGAGAAACAACTCTGGGGCACGAAAGCTACAAGATAAATGGGCAATCCATCTTTTTTTATTTTTTATTGTAAATATACTGTACAAAGGAGTTGCATTTACATGAGTAAGGTAATGAATACATTTCCTATTGAGC